AAAACTTTTAAAATAAGATGCTACTTCACGAGAGAACTAAACATTCCGACTTAAACTTTGAAAATAAAACGTTACTTCATGAGAGAACTAAACATTCCGACTAAAACTTTTAAAATAAAGCGTTACTTCATGAGAGAACTAAACATTCCGACTAAAACTTTTAAAATAAAGCGTTACTTCATGAGAGAACTAAACATTCCGACTAAAATTTTTAAAATAAGATGCTACTTTACGAGAGAACTAAACGTTCCGTCTAAAACTTTTAAAATAAGATGTTACTTCACGAGAGAACTAAGCATTCCGACTAAAACTTTTACGTTGCCAACAAGTATGTTTGCCTAAGTTAAGCTTAGAGTTTATATGCATTGTAACACCACAATGTTATGAAGACGGCATGGCTAGAGACGAACATCCCTCGTACAAAATGTTTGAACGCATTATAAAACCACAATGTTAAGAAGGTGGCATCGCTGGTAACCTCTGGTACAAAACGTTTTATTAAAAAGACACAATTTTATATTAAAGTATTAGTTGTTAATTAAAATAATGTAATTAAATATTAATTCCTTATTGTACGGCAAAATAAAGACAACTAACATTATTATATTTGATTGGATACCCTTCAGTGGTACACCGGTATGTCTGCGGACTTACAACGCTAGAGACGGGTTTCGCACAGATAGCCCATTATGCAGCTTTGTGCTTAACTTCAAAACAAACAAAACTTTTATTAGAATAGAAATTACTTTTTGATAGATTTGTTACTTTTTTACTTTAACCAAAAAAAAAAGAAGACTCATCAAAATTTGTATATTAAACATGATAATATATGTTAAACGATTCGTATTGTTTTATACTCTTGTAATAGGGTGTCGACATCTATTGGCAAACTGAGTTACAACGTTGTGTGTTCTCCCGTGCACAAGGAGGGTAACTTGCCGAAAACACGCGGGTTATCGAATTCCTTGTTTTCTAAATGTTATACAAATTTACTCATGGCACATGTTTAAAGTAACCCCAATACTCACCATGGTTACGCAAAAGTTTAACATTTGAAATCTGGCATTGAAGTATGATCTCATTTTTCGCAAGTGATTACAGGGGGGGGGGGGAAGGAACTGTTAGGGTGAGAATTTTACATCAATGCACCTTAAAATCTAGTTTAAAACGTCAACATTCGCACTCTAACAAGTCGGGTTCTGACTAAGAAAAACGCAGATAAATATATATATATTTTTCTGTAAAGATTTCTTCGTGTTCTGGTCAAGGTTTGGACAGCTATCCAGTTAGCACGTTTGGGCATTTTGGTCGTATATAAGTTTTGTACTGAAAATTTGTGCTTATGGTACCAAAATAGCAGAACAAAAAACATCACTTTTTTTCAGTGATGCTGTCAGAAGAAATACGATTTTGAATGTGTAAAGTATATATTTGTGTATCCAATTAAATTACATGATATAAAGTGATAGGCATCAACGTACGATATAAGAAAGTACTTAAGACACGTAATCTTTATACTTGTAAAGGTGTAGTGTCTGTCTGTCACGCTCTGCACAGCAGCAATGGTGGAATGTGGAGAAAGATTTATAAGTGATCGTTGTTTGTCTTGGTCTGGGGAAGTGTGCTTCGGAGTGCCAAGTCAAGAGAGTTTTTCGTTAAAATTAAAAAACTTAAGTTGAGGGAAGCCATGTAAAATTTTACCAACTGTAAAAAAGTAGTGCACGACTGATCTAAGTTCGTGCTTCAGGTTGCATCAATTACTTCATATTGATGCCTCTTCATCTCCTTTTCCATGGCAGACTTCTAGTGTGTGTTGCCCTACTTCCACTGAACAACGTCTTCATCTGCTTGGGCTCTTAGAACCTTTTCGTAAACACTTACCATCAGGAATGAGGCAATTTATACTTAAATAAAAGGCTGAATATTCAGCTCGTCTTTTTCGAGGTGTTTGCTCCCTGCGAGACTCCTATTATCCAGGACGTTGTTAGTCTCATTATAAAACTTGAGACACGTGTTTTGGTCTCCCGGTGAGTTAGCGGTAAGTTCACGAACTTATAACGCTAAAATTCAGGGTTCGATTTCCTGCAGTGGACAAAGTGCAACTAGTCCATTCTGTAGCTTTTTGCTAGACAAAAAATATACACAGCACACATGTATGTATAATATAGATTATTTTAAATAGCCCCGCCCCCATGGCTTATAACACCAAAAATCAGGTTTCGATACCCGCGTGGCCAGACCACAGACGGGCCATCGTTACGCTATGCACTCAACAACAAACGCGTGTGCTGTAACATTTTATTGTCAGTTGAGGATCTTTAATAATCTTCAACAGAAGGGAGGAGAAGAAAACTTTGAATAATTGTTTCTTTGAAGGAGTATTTATAACTTGTCTTTATTTGCTCTCACTGAAACATTTAGCAAACTATATATAAAACTAGCTTATAAGAAAACAATTGAAATACTGGCAAACTCTTCTAACAGCTAGATTAGTAAAAGTCTCTAGAACTATGCAAAATAAATTATGAATGTCAGTAATAATATATTCTGTATCAACTACCGAAACCACCCAGTTATCTACAAGAAAAAGGCGTTGAGTTAATAAAAAGCAAAAAAAAACTTTTGATCATTAAAAACACATTACCCAATAAGATTTTACCTTACTTTACAGTTGCAAACTAAATTGAACATTTCTTCAAAGGTATTTGTTAACATCTGTTTCAGATATGTACAAATTATTTAGATAAAATCATACAAATAACCATAATGAGTGTTTGTAGTATATGTATTTTTACATACAACTAAGAATTTTGTATGCAGTCTCAATTACTCACATAAAATTTTGGATATATCCAGTTCTGAAACGAACTACTAAGTAAATGGTATATGCTTTTTTATATACTTTATAAAACTAAACCTGATTTTGCCTCGATCATTTTCATTTGTCTGCGTTAGAGCAAAGCCACGTTTGGCTATCTGCTGTGTTTACTGCGGAGAATTAAACCCTGGATTTTAGTGCTGTAAGTCTGCAGACTTGCTAATGTCCCAACATGGGACTAATTTTTGTTTGCAAATTGTAGAAAAAATATTCATTTATTAACTACTGAAAGCACATCATTAAATAATTTTCTTTATTTCACTTTCTTCAGTGTACAGTACAAATAATAAAACCCAAATAAAAATACAACCACAAACATTAATCAAAAGATTAAGCTTTTGAGAAACTTGTATTATAGCAAAAACTATAGAAATTAACCAAATTTCTTTTTTTTACCATACATGCCAGTAATTGTTGTTTCTTCACATTTTGTTTAATGTGTTGACAATCTGCCTAAAACAGTTTTAAAATGTTAAAAACGTGAGTTACACAATGGATTTCTGATCTTAGAAAAATGAACAATGGTTTCTAGGACATCTTCAGTAACTTGAAAAAAGTTACACTATGTGTACCATCTGCTTGTTTTAAATATAAAGTTGCTAGACAAAGGAATGGCAACATTTTCTTTGTTTTTATTAAAGTAAAAATTTCTCAAAATTCTAGGGTTTGTAAAGATGTTTTTGATTAATTATGTTAAATGAGTTAGTTACATATACATACTCATAAAAAAGGGATTTTCATGGAAACTGAAATATCCATAAAAATCTTAAAATATATCATAATGGTTTAGAGCAAACAAATACAACTTTAAAATACAGTGTGAGAAAATAAAATAAACTGTTTTTCAGCAAACCTCATAACCTTGTAAGGAAACTAAACATCTTACAATGCTATTATTACAAACACTGTAGCTGGGGTCAAAACTAAACAAAAGATATAAAACCATGAACATATAAAACTAACCCAGAATGAGCATAAAAGACAATTACACACTAAAGAAAAAATGCAACTAAGATGTTTAATTTTTCTTACTCCTCATGAAAATGTCTTCCTATGTAGTTCTTACTTTAAGACATCATTTTTGTTTAGTTTTATAGCTGCATAATTGTGTATTTTTGGATACACCTCTTCAGTTGTTTTTTTTCCTCTAACTCCACACAACTGGTAAATGTAAGTACCACTTTGATTTTATGCTGTTAAGTATCAGAATTTCTAGTGATCTAAAACAAAATGTTCACATGTGTATTTTTAAAATCATTTCTACGTTAAGTACAGTCAGATAAAATAAACAATACTTTCAGACTAACACTTCAAATGCATCTGATGCTCGAAATCAGCAAACTTTCAATGAAGGGAAATAAATACTTAATTACACCTGAAATAACAAGGATAAAGTTACCACAGAAAGTTATTATTAGTGGTATTCTACTTTATTATTGGTATACACTAAATACTGTGTTACTACTAGTGTGTATATATATATATATACTTATAGACCTTGTTGGATTTTGTACCACTGTTGAACATATAACATAGCTATAATTGTTCTTTCACAACAATACTGTTACATTTACTATTTGTAGACTGATTCTTTTTCTTTCATAGAATGCTTTGTGAAATTTGTAGAATTTTTTAAATTTAAAATTGTAGAATATAATGCAAGTATTAACATAACTTTTCTGAAAAAAAAAAACAACAACAAACACAACCTCTAGAAACCACAAGTAATTTTATCTACTGTTAAATGTTTTGGTTTATATCTTTATTAATGACAATATGGTACAGTCAAGAATGGTCCTAAATTTTGTATGAATTTACCTGATTAGTATTCAGAACTAAGCTGCAATTGGTTGGGCAATAAATAGTTTTCTGAAACTAGTTGTCAATCATTTTAACAAAACTTGTCTGTCAGATAAGTTGGGTATTCCACATGACAAAGGCCACTTAGAGGAATATGAAAGCTTGTGTGTTCAAATAAACCATACTTACACATGAAATATTAGTCTGAAATCTAGTTTTTACCAGTCACATAATATATCAACCGTTGTATTAAGTATGGCAAGTAGGACTTAGAATGATTGTCTGACTAACATTTTTATGGCAGTAGACGTCTATAACAAAAATTAGTTGCTAAATACAGTTAATTATAAATATTAATAATTATGCAAACAAATTTACAATATAAGACACTACAATAGTCACAAGGATAAATGCCTATTTGATGAAAAAGTCTAAAACCAGTATTATTATAAGACATTTACCTTATACCTTATGCATACGAAAGTTAAATACAAAAATATTTGATGTGATCTTTCAAACTATCAGATTTTATATTCCAGAATCGAAAATGATAGAACTGAATTTTGCCTACAAAATAAGCTGTCTTAAATGTAATCTTTTCCCATCAATTTAAGCTTTAAGAAGCATAAACAAAAAGTAAAAAATAAAAGCATATTTCATTTTGCAGTAGTTCCATAGAATGCCTAAAGAGGGTTCAAAACATGGAAAAAAAAAAAGAAATATGCATTGGCATGCAACTTTCATGTCTAAAAAACAACAACAACTACATATACATGTTTTAACATGGCAATTTCTATAGCATTTATAGAACGAAAATAAATAAAGTATAAAAAAAGAATACATTTAAGTGTGACTTTAATGTCTAACAAAGCAAAAACGAGGTTAGATGGTAGTATGTATGTGGTAAGATCCATACAAATATTCCAATAAGACATAAAACAAGTCATTTTCCCTGGTTTAGTATTCATGTAACTATAAAGCATTATAGAAATAAAATACACGAGTATACAAAGTTTTGATCAGTTACATCTTAATAAATAAGTACTCAAAACTTAAGTTATGATAGTAAATAAGAAAATTTCTATAACTTTACAACAGCATCAAGTATATCATAAAATTGAAAGACTAAAGTACATAATACTGAAATTCTACTCACTACATAAGAAATCATAGGAATATCAGAGTTAAAGAAAACAAATTAGATTTGAAAGTATAGGCATAACCATTCTAGGGTTTTCTTTCATAACTTTTTATGGGAGGGAAGGGTTTTTATTTGGCAAATCACGTGGCAAAGATCATCAGAGTGCCAAAGGCAGAGTATGTCTGTAAACATTTCTGTTGGTAGTCACTAAAATTGTTTACAAGTATGTTTTAAAATGATACAGTTTTAATAATACCTATTTTTTTTACAACAAAAGTTATAATTTAGAAATAAATTGAAATAAAAGTTTGAAAAAAAAATTTAGATAAGAAACTCTCCCTATCATTTAATTAATGCTGCTTGAGGAAGAAAAATTCTAGAATTCATATTCACAAAAGATGCCTTGTTACGATATTATACAACAAATAATTATCTAATTCACTGATATTATAAATTTGTATTTGTTGTAGTTACTTAATTCAATTTGGCAGCAAAAAATTCTAAGATTAAATCTTATATATGTAAATATATATGTATAAAAATTCTAAATTAAATTTGATTTAAGGAAGAAACATCAGATTCAAGACTTCTACACCTGCATCAAATGCTAACTATGCACAAATTGTTTTCTTTCCATAAGCTGATTTTCAACGAGGCTAGATGCTTAAGGCTGTTTGACGAAACTTATACCAAAATCAATTTCTTACCAGTATTTTGCATTTTTTTGTTTTTCAGAACAAAATTACTTTAGGATTTATTGTGTATTTTTGTTTTACACCTGGAGAAAAACTGTTGATAAATTTTTAATTCACCTATATATGACTATAATGTATTAATAACAAAAAATATAAATCCCTCTAGTTTCTATCATGTAAGGTGATACAAAAATAAAAACTAACATTGACAATATAGAAAAAAAACTTTGCAGTAACATAAAGAACAATTATTAACTGTTAATGACTGGAAAAGGCAATTTTATAGCCATAAAATTTCAGTATTTTGAATACAAATAGTTTGAATTTTTTCAGACATCAGTTGATAAAATTCTTGAAACTACACACAAAATTTGTACTTCAAACTGTTTTATGAATGATGAAAGTGTTTTTATTTTTTACTTCTAAAACCTGGTATATATATATTTTTCCCTACAGAATTAACAATAACTAATAAACTCTTCTTAAAAAGTTCTAGCATACAGAACAATAGGCATCAAGTGTCTAACTATAGATAAAATGAATGTCACTAGTTTCATGAGATGTCTTTAATAATTCAGCAATAGATATTAGCATTAACACTAGATCTGCAAGATCTTAAATTATCAAGCTACAACAACATGTTGTAGCTTTAGGTTCTGGGATGTCCTAATAATTCAGCAACAGAATAACAACATACAGCACAAAATTTTCTAAATTCTAAACAACTAAGTAACAAGTATTAGAATTAACAATCTGTCCTATTAGTAATTAAGCTTTAACAACATATAGCACCAATTATAGTTTAAGTTCTAAACAATTAAGCAACTGATATTAGAATTATATCATGACTACTAGGTCCTACGTAATGGTGATAAAAGACAATACATTGCATACACAACAAGGTTTTAGTAGGTCTTAAGCAATTAAGCAACATATGTTAGTAATACCTTTATGTATATATTGTAAGAACCCAGCATTCCTTACAGCTATAATGTAATAAAGAGCCTGCCTATGGCATGGGAGATCCAAAAGAATTGCTAAAGTTACTGTTAAAAAACCCACCACGTATTAAACACTTAAAATTCTGAAAATTACAAACAGCACCAGGACGTGATAGATTCTACCAAGGGTATTCTATTGTTTCATGTGTATGCTAGTAAATATTTAAGCATGTCAAGCTTCACATGATGGTGCACTTCTCTGGATTGTCTGGATCATCCTGAAAATCATGAAAGTACTTGTTTAAAAATAAGTATGTCCTACTTTTTTAAAACGTTCTTTACATATAATTTTACATTTTATGCTTCTTTTTAAAATAATGATACTAGCGAATTTTCCCAGAGCACATCTTAACACATTAAGATAAATTACATTAAAAAGGAGCTATCATGTACACTAAAAAGTTTTTAAGGACATAAAGAGTGTGGAAATATTTCAACTTTATACTAATTAGTATAGTGATCAATAATTTTTCATATGTAATTATTATCAAATAATATAAGTATGGATTCTGACACTTCTAAATAATATGATATTTTGAAGAGTAATTTTTTTATCACAGCTATCGAAATGATTTTGCACGTAAAATAAAATAATAGAGAACAGATTTTTTAACAACTCTTCACTTAGTTTTTGTAGGGGAAATAATGTGTTCACTCAATCAAAATATAAAAGTCAAATGTTTAGTAAACACCAATCATTTTGTTAACTAACAAACATATTTAAGATATAATTTCACAATATTTATGAACTATGTTATTATGAATATAGCAAAACAACTACTAAAAGTTAAGTTCTTAAGGTTTACAAAATCTGTCAACAGAACTTGCCTCAATAACTGCATCTGGGTACTCCCCACTTTCAGAGGTTGTCTCTGCCAGAGAACTAAGTAATCTTTTGGTTGTTTCACGAACTGCCATCTCCTATTAACGAGGAACAATGATATAAAACAATTATCCATGTTTAAACAATATTTGTAAAATAACAAAAGATTAAACACATTTTAACTCAAAATGTTAAAAGAAACTATTTTTAAGTCAAAGAAATAAGTTTATAATGCAATTACTGTATCAATCATTCCAAGAAGCAAAAAACTGAAGCTTCGATAAAGATAATCACGCACCTAAAAAAAACCCCAAAAAACATTAATTTATTAATGTTCTACCTAAGCTATTCTGTCATATGCATTGAAAGATAAGTTAATTTATTAAGAGATACATGAATTTCAAAACATACTTGAAAAACATAAAACAACATTTGTTATGCACTGACTTATTTATATTACTGGTTAATGTACATTTTCTGTCACACGGCAAATACTTTAACACTTTTTTTTTTATTCAAATTTCAGAATTCTCTCCAAGTTCAATATGCTTGGAAAAAATTTATAATATAGAACAATTTTAAAATTGATTTTTTTTAAATTTTACTTAAAGATTTCCACTTACTTCACCATCTGAATTCAGAATTGTCACCGTCATGGATTCACCCGTTATCCACTTTTGGCCTTTCATAACAATATCACCACTTGAAGGATTGTGGGTAACTCCACTATCTGCGCTCCAAACCTGAAAAGTGCAATGTATGTTAGAACTATAATTAACTATGCAATTTAGTCATCTACCATAGCTATCACACTGGTTACAACAAGTAAGAAAGAGTTCAAGATGTGATCACTTTACTTATTCAAGCACAGCACAATAGTAATCAATCAAAATTATTTACGGTCACTTGATTTATAATTTATTTTATTTCACAGTTACAAATCTAAATAGTATTGGCACTTTAATAAAATTTTTAGATTCTCCAAGTAAATGTATTTTATTCTTATTGTATACGGTCACTTGATTTATAATTTATTTTATTTCACAGTTAAAAATCAAAATAGTATTAGAATTTTAATAAAATTTTTAGATTCTCCAAATGTATTTTATTCTTATGAATATACATTAAGATTTCTTAACATTCCCCCCCCCCCCAAAAAAAAGGATAAGGGTAATCTTATTGAATTTTACAAGACTTTGTGGGGATCAATAGGATAAAGGCCACTGATTTCTTTGTACTAAATTATTAAGACAATAAGCTGAAAGACAAAAAAAAGGTTAGATTTCCAATTAAGACTGTTTTATATCTCTAATAGGAGTGATTAGCAGTGATCAGCAGTAGTTAAGGCTAGCACCTTACAAGAACCCTAAAATGCCTGCGAGTTGATTCAACACATCTGTTGTATGATTTATTTGCATTGAAAATCTTGAGATGAACTTTCTACAGGTTATGAATCTTCCAGAAAATAAAGTACCTTATTTCTATATATATGACAGTTTTAAACAAATGCAACTTTAAAAAATCTAAAAGTTTTGACTGCAATGTATTTTTTTTAAATGTTCATCTTTCTCATAGCCTTACATTCTTGTAAAACTTTCCTATGGTTTTTATTTTATCATTTTTCTGCTGTTAAACACACAGTATTCAGTTTTAGTGTCTACACGATCAATGGCATACAATTAATAACTTCTTACTATACCAATATTCTAAGCAAGCCAATTTTGTTTTTAATTGTTAATCAGAAGGGTTCATTTAATATACAAGTTTTAAACCCATCTTATATTAGTTAATATTTTTTTTTTACATTTCTTTTGGGGATTTTCTTTACCCATTCAATCAATTCCTTAGGTTAACGAGGCCTAAAGTAAACATGGCCTTAAAATGAGACTTGATACGGTTGATCAAGTGCAAAATGATCCAACTACTGATTTTGTTTCACTAAAAACATTTCTTTTCCTATCATACTGCAACATTATAATTTAAATGAAGTACAGAATGACAAAGCAAGCTTTAAGAGATTAGGACTGTAATCATGGCAGAAGTTGTTCACAAACATCTTATCCTCCAGTAACATATCATTCAGCTAAAATTTTATCACTTTGTTCCATTCTCTACACACTGCGCAACTGAGAAGAAAAAAAAAGATCTTTCTTTAGATGTTTAGATCACTAGCCTATTACATCACACTATGACAACCGAGGTTGGTTGAGGTACAGCAATTAGTTAAAATTAATAAAACTCACTTACTAGAGTTACAAAGTTCAAATTGGCATTGTTTTTTTTTCAAAGATAAGAGTCTATTATGTTAAAAAAATTCAGCAAATTCATAAAGAGTAATGTTTTTGTTGAAGTGTGCTGAAATAACTCCAAAACCAAAGTTAGTAATTTAAAAAATGTTTATGCATAGAATTAAACAAATGAACTTTTTTATTTGTATTGAATGAATTTCAATTCTGAAGCAGTTAACAAGTTTATTTTCAATACATTTTTAATTCAACAAATCAGTTTTGTCCTGAACAAAGAGTGAACCCAGCTGGGTGACAAAGGGTTAAGAGTGAAATAAATGATTTCCTGAAAAATAATTTAAATGTTTACATTTTTTTTCTTTGAAAGTGTGTGTGCATTGAAGGACCTGTTTCTTTTTTTTTTGTATGACATGCTCGTTTGATGCAAACACACCAGCTGAAGGCAAAATCACAACCATTAAAATAAAAGGTTTTCACTGCTAACTTTTAACTATTACTCAAAGTAATGCTCACAAAAAATATAATAAAAATGTGTGAAATAGATGGGAATATTTTCAAAAATGAAGTAAATGAACCTCTTGCATCTAGACCTTCTACTTTTAAAGTTATGTATAATAGCATTAAAATATTTTCCAAATATACAAATAAAAGTAAACAACTGAATGAAACCTCTTAGGCTCTTATACCTTTATAATTGGAACAATTTCCACTATGAGCTATTTTCAGAAAAAACATAAAACACAATAATATGGAAGCAATTTGAATTAAGCTACCAAGATTACTCCTATATGAATTTACTGAACTTCATAGACAAATTGAATAATCTTGATACACACACTTGCAAAAGCTTGACTTTATAAAAGAAGATAACAATAAAATAAAAGTAACACAAGTTATTAGAATATGTCAGATTTAAAAAAAATATATATATACACCTGGAAAAAAGTTAAGCACCCCCGTGTTTTTTGCAAGTGATT